TATAACACAACACAAGATAGCACCAAGCACAAATACGTACTCACTTCCTTAACGGTTTCAATAGTAAAAACGGATTGTCATGACCACCGCGCGCAACGAGATTTCACTTCGCAGCTATCTTAAAACAAAGTGGCCGATTTTGGTGACGTGTGTCAAAATGATAGCCCAAACATCTATTGATTGTAATTTTAGTGTTGCCAGTTCAAAATGTTGCGACAGTTGCTTAATAAATTCGATCAACGAAAAAAATGTCCATAATTGGTGCCATGTCCATTACTGGTGCCGTCACCCTAGTCACTTTAATAATACCTACTTATAACAATGTGACATCATGATAAAAATATAATTTTATGCTGTTTTGCTGGGCTGAACATCGAAATGATTTCGGGAATTCCCGAGGTGACCAAAACATAATTAATTAGGTACAAAAAATTGTGTCGACTTTGCCAATGACAAATTACCCTCGGTCTGAATCGATGGAAATATGTAGTAGTCATTTGCTCTACTAATGAATACGCGTGTTGTCACGTCCTTTCATGTTCTTCATATTATTGAGATTACGTACTTACAGGATTCCCACCTGAAAAAAGTATGGAGTATAAGATTCGGTTTAAAAACTTACGAAAATGTTTTCAGTGGATCCGTTGTCGAATGTTACTGAATCGTAACCTAAGGAATCCTATTGAGTATCATCAATATCATCATCAATTTTATGATTTTATCGCATTATAGACTTTTATGTCTTAGGTTGGTACCTAGCTTAAAACAAAATTGCTCCCACTCTCTCTGCGCTTAGAAGCGGATTTAGTGCGGTTTTCAGCATAGACAGAGAGAAATTTCATGGATAGAGAGATTGAAGAATGGGTTCAATGTAAAATAATAGCATTCCTGCCAAGCCGATCAACACATTCGATCATGATTCACTACAATTATTAATTTAGAATAAAATTTAATATAAATAGATGTATTTAGTCAGGAAAACACGTGAAATGTTTGGGGAAATAATAATGAGTTTAATAATAAACATTCTCGTCATAAGTAGGCCTTGTTAGTAATGCGAGCTAAAATGTTGCTAAAACAAAGTTTATGTTCTTATGAGAGTGATTCACGCGAAATCTCAATGCCCATGACCTACTAATTCAACACATAAAGATGTATTCGCACAATGGGAAATTCAGTTTAATTCTCTTTCTATGATCTGAGGTTTAATCCTTATCTAATTTTATAAATTCCAAAGTTTTTTGTCACATTTTCTTTCATGTCTAAAATCAATGAACCAATTTCGATGAGTTTTGATATTATTATTTTTATCTTGGATTTGCATTGTATTTAGGTGTTACCTGATGTAAGTTTTAACCCTATAGTGGTAGTGATGGTGACTAATCATAATTATAGTAGAGTAACTTTTTAGCTATATTTGACTTCTAGCATTATTTTTATTGAAATATCACGAGCAAAACGGAAATGATAAAGTTTAAAGGACAATATTTCCTAAGCGTTTGACCTTTAGATAGTCAGAGTAAAATATTTTGATATTTTTACTTATTTTTATTTAAAATATTACAGACTCTGTAGACATCTATAACTTTTAAAGTTATTTATGTGGATACAATCATAATAATTGTACCATATTGTGAATAAAAAATAAATGCGCCTTGCTACTCACAATAGCAACAAAGATCATGTGTGGGAATTTACTGCTATGAACGTAAAAGGCGCACTACCAAAAACATTTATTTTTATCTCCTGTGTTATGCTAGAAGCCGTAGGTCTTCTGTTGATTGGGTAACTAGTTGTCAGAATTAAAAATATTTTAGAATTTCTTAGACTGCAAAAACTTTTCAATCTGAATAAAATATAAAGCGGCACAATTATAATGTTAGCTGGCGTCATTTGGTGGCTTTCAACCAAAACAAAACTATCTTGAGTTAGTAACATACCTATTTATTTCTGCAAGATAATTGAAACGTTATAGCGATTAACACTCGATATGATTACACTAGTAATTGTTTGCCTTTGATCGAGTCTACGAATAGGTGTTTCTTTAGTACATCAGACATACATTTTGTTGCAAAATAACTCCTATTACATCGAAATAAGTGTGATAGATTTGCTTGATGTGCTGTCATCCGTACCTAACTACCTACCGTACCTACTTAGACAACTGCTACCTGCTACTAGCAAAAAGGCATAATTTGTATGATTCATTGTATTTTCCTGCATGTTCTGCTTATAATGTAGGTAACTAATATTCTCACACTTAAAGGTAAATAAAAAATGAATAATTATTTTACAGGTTAGTTAACACCTTGTGAACAAAAGTCAATGACAATGTCTGCACTTTGTGACTATGTGAAGTTTTATGATAAAAAAAGCTTGTAAATAGGGCAGTCTTGGCTTAAAAATTTTAAAATATTGGGACAACTTGGTTCACACCAAGTTTATACTTTTTAAGGATCCGTAATCACTTTATACCTGTTGATGAGGAAAAAAAATAGAAGCAACAAGAACAGTGAATATCTTTGTCGATCTTTCTTAGTTTTTGGTTTTTGGCTGACTCATGTTAGATGGCACCGTGTAACGGGACTATTCCCACCTCTCGTTCCCACCACTGCAACTCCTATGTAGCCAGGATCTACAGCTTGACCGCCACAAAAACCCAACTAATGAAGGTCAAGTTTGTCCCGGGGGAAAGTTAAACTGTCATTGGACCCGCAACGAAATTAATCAGAAGAACATAGGAGTTCGAAATTAAGGTTCGACTTCCCTCCATTGCCAAGCGGATGACAGGTGACAAACAACGTTTTAAAACCTTTAAGAAAAGATTATGCACCACGGACAATAAATATCAATTAAGGGGGCCTATCTTATGAGCAATTAGCAACTACCTGCCACCGTGTAAGTAAAAGTTCAAGAATGTATCTTACATGCAAATGAAATTAAATTCAAGTCAAGATGTACCTCTAATTAAGCCTAGAAATAGCTCTACCAGACAAAAATATGCGTGTCATGTCAAACCTAGCATTTTTCTCGGGCCATAATCTCGCCCGCTGGCGATGTCCAGACGTAATCTCATGTCATTAGGAAACTGCTGTTCCTAATAAATTACTGTAATTATTGACCAACAACACGCTGATATTTTTATTTTGAAAAACAAACCAGCGCAGGTATTAGACTATCGTATGAAGGCCCGATTCGATCAAACTTTTATTCGAGAATAACTCTGGTATAACTGGCACATTGACAGTTTCAGTATGGGAAATATGTCAAAATGTCGAATAACTGACGATTTATTCTGAGATTAAATTATTTACTCTTGTTTGGTCGAATCCACCCTAAGGTGTAGAGTTTTTGAAGTTAGAGATTGGCGTGTAAAGTTAGCAGTTTATTGGCTTGGCTCTACCTACATGAGACCTGATAACTTTTTCTCAGTGCGTGGCTTATGGTCTTGTCTTGGTAACAATTTACATGACTTTCAGATTCTCAGTTAGTAAGGATGATATCGCAACCTACCTTGAAATAGGGTTAAGTAATTTTATTGTGTCCTATCATACCTAATACATACATACATACTCGTAGTAACGGTAGGAATATGTTGGAATATTTGCGGAAAAACAAAGTAGAATTGGGCGTCTAACTTTTTTTTACAGCTTACGTTGCTAGAACTTCGAGTGCAAGTGTGGTTGTGCTCTACAGTCAATGAAGAACATGATGTCGTGCCCTGCGTGCCCAAACAACTGCATGTCCTGACTTAGTAAATGCTACTGACAACGCCTCTCTTGTAGCAGAGTTTTGGGCTGACACTGTATAGGTTTGTTGTCGACGCGACAAGAAGAAGAAGTGCATTTTTTCGAAGTTAACATTTTAAGTGGTTCTAAAATACAGGAAATAAGGTGTGTACCAGTCTAGAGAACTTATAAAACATTATATTCATTATATTGTTACTTTATAACAATGGAACGATACTTGATCATTTCAGCTCATTATTTTGAGAGCAAAAAACTTAACATGTTTTTAAGCTCAAGGTTTGTAACTTAATTTAGCTACTTATTAGTTGTGAATATTTAGTTCAATTTAACTTTCTGTGACGTACATTACTTTACGAGAACACATTTTAATGCTTTGAATTTGAATTAAGTTTAGTGCCATCCTACTCGTACTAATCCTACTAATATTATAAATGCAAAAGTTTGGATGTCTGGATGTTTGTTACTCTTTCACGCAAAAACTACTGAACGGATTTTGATGAAAATTTGCAGTATTGTTGTTTATAACACAGAATAACATATAGGCTATAATTTATGACGATCTGTGACAAACTAAATTTCACGCGGGTGAAGCCGCGGGCAAAAGCTAGTTTTAAATACGTATACTTATCCAAACATATGTATTAGCAGACAATGCAAACAGCAGATCCCCACCACACTTTTTCCGGGTGATTCCGGAGGGCCCTTGATTCATCATTCGGGAATCGTAGCAGTTAATACAGCACCGTTTATAAACTGCATTTTGCGAGTGGCCAACCTTGCGGTGACGGATAGTCTAGTTGCTGGTGTTTTAACACCTGTCGGTCCTTTCATTGGGTGGATAACCCACCACATAACTAAGGATAAGACAACGATATAATATTACGACATTTTAATATTGTTTTCGATTATTGCGTACTTTCCATCAATACATTGAACGAAAATAATAATGCAATCTATAGTTTTGTGTTCCATCTAGTTTATTGAGATTGGTTTTGTAAACAATCATAACTACTTTACTGGACTGCACATAAAACTATAGTGTAAAAATTGTAAGAAATTCATACAAAAGCAATAGTAATTCTACGATCGTTGTACATAGGCACATCGTTCAGTATGTTTTGCTTTAAGTAACAATTAGCCATTCATCCGAAGCTAAAAGGTAACAAAAACAAAAAGGGACAGATGTAATTTAGAATACGTGTAAAATAGAGCAACTGCTCATTACAAACTAAAGTCTAAATAAGTCTCAAAATGATTCCAGTGTTACTCATTTTAAGTGTCCTAGGCGGTGTGATTGAAGCCGCACTCCGGATATTTGGCGGTAGAGATGCAGATCCAATGGAATACCCATACGTTGTCAGACTAGGAATAAAATATTCTTTAAACCAACTTGACGCATATTTCGAACATTTCCAATTCCTTTGTACTGCATCAGTGCTAACTCCTGTTTGGACGCTCACAGCGGGACACTGCGTTGATGATGCTGTTTTAACCTTTTTGCAATCTTCATATCCCACAGCATCTTTGAAATACGTCATAATGTATGGATCAGCAACAGCACACCGTTCGACAACCGACAATTTCAGTGACATCGTTGCGACTGTTAAGCACCCGTCTTATAATTCAATGGCCTTACAGCTTGGTGCATCAGGATCTAACGACGTTGCACTAGCAAAGACTACGTCGACAAAATTGACCAAGTACGCAAAGCTGAGTGCGGTTGAGTACCCTTCTCTGGTGGGGCAAGCGGCCATCGCAGTTGGATATGGGATCACATTTGAAGGAGACCAAGTGGACCACACTTTACAACTTGGTAAAACGTTGCAAGTATTGGACGTAATGATAGGGACATGCGCCAAAGATTTTCGCAAAAATTCTTTATCTCCCATCATATGCTTGAGCAGACTTTGCAGTCAACCCGCTACAATACTCTGTCGTGGTGACTCCGGGGGACCCCTGCTGCATGACTCAGGAGTTGTTGGAATCAACCATATGGTTGAATCAGATGAATGTACACTGCGATCCGCAAATTCAGGACTCGTGAAAAGTAGTACTGTCGGGATCAACGTACCGATCAGTCCCTATGTTGGATGGATATCTAATCAAATACGAGAAAAGGAAGAATCCCACTAGATATGGTGGAGTAAAACCCATCTACATACCTTCTGAGGATCGCGGTTTCATTGCTTACGACTGGGAGACTCCGTCAACATAGTGAATTCTAGTGCGTTGAACTGAAAATCGTTGGGTTTGAACACTTTCTAACTCGAGAACTGCTGGACCGATTTTCATGGTTTTTGATTTGCTGTATTTATCCCCGTCCCGAATAGCAAAAAAAAAACGATTAAAACATAGGAAATTTGAAAAAAGAAAAACATTTTCGCCACACAAAAATGTTCTCCATGAACATGTTTCATAATTTTTTTACCATAAATGAGATGATAAAGACCAAAGAAATCGTTTTCTTTTGAACTATCAAACTAGATAGCCCCAAACTATGCAGAGCTTGTGGGGTGGTGTGGTGATTAGGTAACGGCTAGGTAAATAAACAATACATGAGTAATTGTACAGTCGACAACACACCAGAGTGTGAACATTTTTGTAGGTGTTTCTACACAGTGCGTCCCTTGATATGCTCTCGTTCCTACTAAAGGCAAAACTATGACTAGTAGGTTACTATTTTTAACAACCTCTGTGGTCTAGTGGTATGGTCATCTGCTTCAGAACTAGAGATCCTGTGTTCAACTTTCAATAGAGGCAAAATTTTGTGCTCGGTTTAGTCGGTGGTAGACCAATTCCTAAGTCCGCCTGGCTAGCTACCACCATCTTACTAAATAAGTCTATCGCGTTATCAAGAATTCGGCCTGATCATCACTTTCCATCAGATAAGATCTGCCAAGGAGCTTCCATAAATAACCCTGCTACTGCCGCAGTCGGGTAAAAAAAATAATAAGGTAATATTCTCCACTATCTGACGTGCTGGCTGATTTTACTTCGATACGAGAACCATCAGGCTGGATGACTTAGGCTGGGTTGCACTAACTTACTTTAACAAACGTCAAAAATCTGTCAAACTCCATACAACAAGCACCGGTTATCGTTATAAGTAGTAAAAGTTAGGTAGTGCAACTCAGCCTTAGTTAATATCTACTTTATCGACTGGCGTTGTGAAATCCTTACTTTTTTAGCAGACCGTGGATTCACAGTTATCGTGGCGAGACTGTCCTTGTGTCGTCACCGAGGAGTGACCACTTAATCACTAATTAAGCCTACAGTTAAGTTTAACTTGGCTATTATTTTAGTGTATTCCGTAGAGTTAAGGGTTAAATGTTATGTCGAAATGAAAATGCTAAATTGCATCTTTGAATAACTATGTCCCTTTGAAATAAATTGAAAAGTAAATTATATTTAGTATGCTGCACCCTGATTATATTCATGTACCTACTTAAATAAAATTAAGGTTTGTAAACAAAGTCACAGGCAACAGTTAGTTATGTCTTGTGATAAATATAAACTGAAAACAAACATAATAAACAAAAAAATATGTTATTATTAGAAATTATTATGAGTTGTTCTTGAATATTTTATAAACAATCTGATATTTATTATGATCTAACATATTGTTATAAAAAGCATGAAAACTGAATATGTTTATGGACTTTTGAATGACAAGACACTGTTTGTAGATCCGACATCACTTTTTTTTTCACAATTCCACGCAAGATGTGTAGATGGAGCGAGGTAATGTAGAACAAACACAGGCAAACAAAAATATTGCAAAAAAAAATATATTTTCAAATTCAAAAAAGGAATCCTAAAAACCGGTTCGGTCATTTGACTCAGCGGTCTCAGATCTTGACCAAAAGCACGTTCCGCGCCAGTCTACTAACCGGTCCGCCGATCGGCGCACGCGGGCTGCCATCTATGCACGGTCTTCGGTTACGTGAATTAAAAAAGTTTGTTCAACGAAATAATACTCCTTGCAGACTGCCAAAGAATCTCGTTCTTTGATGTTCATGTGTTTTTTCCTTTGTTGTTTGATGTTTTTGTCCGAATCTAAGTTGTTTATGTCACGTTGTGAAGAATTTAGTGCTTTTAAAACGATATGCAAACTTTTTGCGGCTGTCATTTTTAATAGTTTGTGTTTTCCTCCAAAAAAGCGTTAAATTTTAATTATTTGGCCAAAAAATTCGTTTGGTAACTAAAATGACCACTTTGTAGATACGTTTTCTTGGTTTCCAATTGAGGAAGTTTGTGAAACTTTCTGTTTTTTTTTGTAAAGAATGACGCATTCAAACTTAATTTTTGGTTCTTATGGGTACCTATTTAAAATTCCGTTTGAAGATGAAATTGATCAGTTCACCGAACAAATGCACCCAAATAACACATACACCCGGCTAGAAAATAAAAACGTTTGCTTATAGCCCACGGCTTATCAAGCTTAACACTATAGCATCCTATTTTTTTTTTGTTTAAGTGCTATCGGTTTGCACTAGTTATCCCAACTATATATATTATATATATATATATATATATATATATATATATATATATATATATATATATATATATTATATATTATATATATATATTATATATAATATTATAAATAAATGCGAAAGTAACTCTGTCTGTCTGTCTGTCTGTCTGTCTGTCTGTCTGTCTGTCTGTCTGTCTGTCTGTCTGTCTGTCTGTCTGTTACGCTTTCCCGCTTAAACCTCGCAACCGATTTTGATGAAATTTGGCATAGAGATAGTTTGAGTCCCGGGAAAGAACATAGGATAGTTTTTATCCCGGTTTTTGAAACAGGGACGCGCGCGATAAAGTTTTTCTGTGACAGACAAAATTCCACGCGGGCGAAGCCGCGGGCGGAAAGCTAGTAGGTAATATTTTGCAAAAAAAAAAATACAATATGATAAGAATTAAATATACTCAAGAGTACCTTTGTAATTAACGTGTTGAGATACATAATTTATTATTAATTATAGCAAGAACTAAGAAAACCACACGGAAATCACAATACCATACGTGGAACTATTCGAGAATCTGCATACTGATGTTGGATCTCGCTGCAATACTGAATTGTTTAATATTAAGTAGGTATCCGATGTTGGTCACAAAACAAACTTGCTTCAACTCATTCTGATTCTGATTCTGATTCCCACTGCTTTGATAGTGATCTCAATAATATTTTGGTCTCGATCACAGGTGCGAGTACTTAAGTTACTAAAGAGTCAAATGCTAAAAAGAAAAAGGCTCACAAAAATAATGTTATGTACCTATGTAGTTGTACGTCATTTTTACCCGACTGCGCCAGAAGGAGGGTTATTGTAAAATATTCTGTATTACAACGAGATAAGACACCACTGTGTTTAGCTTGAGTTCGCTGTGCATAGTGCTTTAGTTTAATCTACAAAATTTTAGTTTAGAATAAATGTAAAGCTCATGATAGATAGAAAAGTTTACTTTAAAAGAAACCGTAAAATTTTCATTTTTTAGGCTGGATTACATTATGTTACTTTAACTTAAACAAATGTCAAAAGTCTGTCAAACTCCATACAAAAAACACCGGTTATCGTTATAGTTATGGTTTAAGACATTTATTTCTCTAAAAGAATTACATTCACTTACAAGATAAATACAAAATTAACCTTAAAACTATAGATTATTTAAAGTTTATACAATTTTATTTGTTTACATTTTAATATTTTTTGCACGAAGCAGACGCGTACAATAGCAGTCACTCGAGTATTAATATATTGGCCATTCGTGGGTACACTAAGAAAACAGTAGTTATAATTCGTAACGATAGTTACTGATAAAGTTAGGCGGTACACCTCAGCCTTAAAGATTAAACTTCTTGTAGTTAATCCATAAGCTACACGAGTCAAAACGAGACATCGATAGACGTAATGAATATTATGAATAATAATAACAGTTAGTTAGATAACATCTGGCAAAACCATAGTGCACAAAAGAGCACTCAGGTAGATAGATACCTGTCTTTTGTATGGTTATTGGTCAGCAATGTTCATTCTTCTGGTAAAGAAGAATGCCTTCCACTGTACCTCTTGTCTGTACTGTGGTAGTATACGAGCTTTTAATTGCAGCTTCTTTAGTAGATTTCGATAAAAAGCCTCCCGTGTGTGATAGGTAAGGATATGTTGAAGATATCATTGAAAATTTTCATGAAAATATTACATAAAGCAAAAGAAAAAACCCTTGGATAACTTATTAACTGTAAGCCATATACGCTTCTATTCAAAAGCGTACAGTGCATAAGTATGGGCAAATGACTTGTCAGCAAACGGTGTTTATTGATTGTAAAATTTACGAAATTAGTAAATGCAAAAATAAATTAAAGCCAGCCTTATGACTTGTTGCACAAAATCCAAAGTACACAAGTAAACAAAGCAAACATTTTTGGAGTTAATGCCGTGAAGTATAAACAAACACATACTGACATTGAGCATGTGCTAAAGTGCACTTCGAAAGCTCTCACCTAATTTTAGTCCAGTCGATTTCAGTCAATTGATTCCAGTAAGGAAGCAATAAATGGGTTATATTATAAGGGAAGAAATATAGAATCAATATTTGTGCCACATCTGAAGAAGCGAAATATTCCGGTCCCAAGACAGATGCTGCTAGCTAGAGCATTCCCAACAACCAAAACTCGGGGGTCTCTATGTAATAGCAATAACAGATGCATGTGAAAATGCTTTGGAAGAAAAAACTTTTAAATGTCACACGCTTACGACGGTTATCACACTGCGCCGCGCTCCGCCGCGGAGCGCGGGGCGACAGATTTAATCATTGTATGCAAGTACCTCAGTTTGTATAGAAAACACGCGCGGCACTTCACACTGACAACGCGTCCGCGCGCGTGATTTTTTATATGAACATTGTGAATTAATGAACGAACAGTGTGATAACCGCCTAAGCGCTCCTGCACACCTGTGGGTCTAGACAAAGTGCAAATTATAATCGCAAACCAGTCGAAAAGTGGTCGAAAAGCCCCTTTTTTGTATGGAGTTTTGACGGATTCGATTTTCGATTCGATCAAAAAGTGCGTTTTGTCTAGGGGGGCTGAACCGCCGCCGCGCCGCCGCCGCGGTGTTCGCGCGGCGCGTATAAACAGTGCAAAGGCGCGGCGACGGCGCGGCGGCGCACAGTGGTCCCGATTTAATAAAACATGGACATTGATGCTAGAGGCACGAAAATTTTTTTGATGGTTACTGCTATGATAACTAATACGGCAAAAAAATATTACAATCCTACGACGTCTATTTCGTAGTAAAAAAAAATATATACATATTTTTTGTATGGAAGAAATTACGTTTCTGTCAATTTTTCGAAATTCTTTAACGATGTCAAAATGCCGATCACACATGTTATAAAACAAGTGATTCTGAGTATTTCATGCGAAGATACTTGTCACTTATCTCTGCGTACTTTTGAGTTATCGAGGGTTGAAAAATCGATTTTTTTATATTAAATATTTCCACGAAAAATTGCCAGAATTACAATATGGTGTATAAGGGACACTTTTGATGACACATAACAACGACTCGCACTCGCGCGCGCTCGTATGCATCAAAAAGAACTGTTCCAAAACGAAAAACAGTGTGAAATAGTAGACAATCTTTTAACTGATAACTGTGTCTACCTGAAGATAAACGTTAGTGCTAGTTACATCATGTAATTTGTCAAAATGGCAATATCGCAATTTGAGATTCATTCTCACTTCAGAGAGTATTTATGAGCTTCCATCCTATCAAAAGCTTCTGAAAACAAAAAAAACTTGTTATCCTTCACAGAGAGATGATATTTGTGTGAGTTATCAATGATGGACATATTGTAAATTGGGCAACCTCTCGTATAAGCTACTTTTTGACGGCCAGCGGACCTATACATACAACGTTGTATTAAGTATTTCCCTTAATTTTTTATTTTATTTTATTAAAAGCTGATGCATACGAGCGCGCACGAGTGCGAGTCGTTGTTATGTGTCATCAAAGGTGTCCCTTATACACCATATTGTAATTTTGGCAATTTTTCGTGGAAATATTTAATATAAAAAAATCGATTTTTCAACCCTCGATAACTCAAAAGTACGCAGAGATAAGTGACAAGTATCTTCGCATGAAATACTCAGAATCACTTTTTTTATAACATGTGTGATCGGCATCTTGACATCGTTTAAGAATTTCGAAAAATTGACAGAAACGTAATTTCTTCCATACAAAAAATATGTATATATTTTTTTTTACTACGAAATAGACGTCGTAGGATTGTAATATTTTTTTGCCTTATTAGTTATCATAGCAGTAACCATCAAAAAAAATTTCGTGCCTCTAGCATCAATGTCCATGTTTTATTAAATCGGGACCACCGTGCGGCGGCGCGGTAGCGGCGTCGTGTGCAGGAGCGCTAAGACATAGAACATCTATGATTTCCATTTTTTATTATTCGATCATTTATTTTTAGAATAAAACAGAACAGCCTGTATTTTCCATTACCTCTAGAAAATTTAAAATCTTTATCAAATTCGATTCGGTAAATTGATTAGACCAGTGTGTTTACTATAAAATACTCGTTGTCTTAAAAAGTTAATTATCATCTAATATTATATAATTTATAACGCCCAAAACAAGTTTCATTGATGTGGAACAAACGTCACAAAAAACCATATAAATAATGTGTGACGCGGATTTAAATCGTTTTGATTTGAATACGCGTTTAAAAGGTTTATCAGATGGTGGACCTAAGGAAATGATGTTAAAGGAAAGACGTCATTTTGGTGTTACGTCTACACGTCTACTCATAAATTCGTTAAAAGTTTTAAAAGTTATTTGTTACGTAAAAATAAAAGATTTTTAAATGTTTTTAATCTCAAATAATGCTACTGAATGCAAAAGTAATGTGTTTATGTGAGACCCAAACTGCCGTACCAATCTTGATGAATAAAAAAACCAAAAATGTAGAGATGGTATCTTGAAAAAAAAAATAGAGTACTCTTTGTCGCAAAATAGGAGTGAAATGTAGAGTAAAAGTTGGCTTACAGAATAATAATGGCTTTACCCACCATTTTGCTAGTAATACTGGTTATACCAATAAACTTACCACTTTAAGTTTCTTGATGTTGTTTTGTGTCGCTGAATAAAACATTTCATTTTTCATTTTTAACTTGAAAAAATGCATGTTTTTCCTAAACGCTCTACATAGACACTTTAATAGACCTAATCGTACGCGAACGATAAACAGGCTACTTCATGTTGTTCTAGTAATGCTTGGTGCAACAGGTTGTGAAAACCCGCATCAAACAGGATTCTTTGTCTAGCGATTAATTTAAATATCAAAACACCTCGACAAGTATGGCTTACCTACTAAATGCCTTGTAATATTTTTTTTTATTTAGCATCTAGAATTCGATCCTGCAAACCATTCCAATCGCGACATGCGAACCACCTCGAGGTAGTCGTCAATAGTTCGCTTTAGCAAATTAAAAACAACATAATATCCAGCACACCAAACGCCACCTCTGGGATTATATTCGAGCCCAAAACTGCTAGTGTAAGGTCAACAGTCTTTGTATAACACTGATGAGCTCAAACTATGCCAATTTCCACGTAGTTAATATGCCAATTTCTATTCAGTTACATTAAAATTTCATACACTTTATTTAAACTATCGTACTATTATGTAGAGTCAATTACGTCACATCTAATAAACATAATACGTTATGTTTACGTTGAAGTCTGACCTATCCATCTTAGTGTCGTGCCATAGGGCAGTTAGTGTTACTACAAGTCTCAAAACTGACATTTATCGTAGGAAGTTGATTCGTATCTGTAAAAATGTTAGGTGACCACCAACCTTAAGGACTCTATACACCAAGCCCGCTGACACAGCCTGGCACAGTACTTTCTATGACTTTTGAAGACATGTCAAAAGGCGACAAATCATGTCGGCGGCTCGGCAGCAAACTAGGGTTGCATATAAATATTCAATCGATAATATTGCTAAGCTATCTAAATTATTGACTGATGAACAATGCCTTAATTGACAATGTCATTACCTGGTTGTATAACTACGAAATATCCTTAATAGATAAGATGGTAGGTACATATAAATAACTAATAGAAGGTTCTAGAGATCAATTTTACTGCGTCTTCTGATACAGTAATTAAAAAATATAAAAAAGAGATAACCAGTTTCAAATCACACTGCAAAGTGTTCTCTGCGTATTAATACAAATGTTTGTTTTTGTCACTCCAATGATTTAAAAATACCATTCGATTACGAAACTGCCCTTGATTCTTCACAGCGTGGACATATAATAATTCTATTAACATAGTTAATTGATTAACTACACAGAAAAATCTAAAAATTTATCAGCCTTGTTTGAACATTTTATTATCATTCCAAACAATTGAACATCTAACATTATTAGTAACAAGAAAAAAATGACCAGCAATAAAATTGCACTGTATTTTTTTTAAGTAAAGACTATGACAGAACTTAACGCTTAGCGTGTGTATGATTACACAACAGAGCGTGGAATTCCCTCATTGACTAATTAATAACCTATTAATTTGACTAGGTTTTGAGCCAGTCGGTCTGTGACACTCTGCGGCAGCAGTCAGAATCGCCGCGAATATAGAAATGAATTAAGAAAACACCAAAATGATCTACGGAGTACTTTTACTGGCGCTAAGTGCACAAAGTTTTGGTTTGAAAGTGTGTGATAGACTTAACAGTGTGGACATAAGTGATGGTGATGTGTCAAACGACAGTTTAACAGTTGTTAAAGCCGGGATTAAGTATGCCAGCAACGAGTACTTTTACGACGAAGAAAGCGGCAGTCTTAGAGGATGCGAATGTAAAAGGCAGACTTGTATTAGAAAATGCTGTCCCATTGGGCTTGGTTATGATCCAAAGAAGAAAACCTGTGTTCCAGTGACGGAGGAGTTCGATCCTCCGGTCTGGAATAAATACAGGAGGCTGGAGGGAGTGAGGGCCGTGGATAAGTTCCGATTCATCACTCAGAAGCATAACTGTACGGATCCTGAGGTCAGGGTGCGGACTGGGCAGGTGACCCAGAACTATCATATTGTGCAGGTAAGAAAAATATTCTTTAGGGTATTTTTTCATCTTGTTCGTTAAAACTTTCTCGTTCTTGGTTTTTAGAACTTTACCACAATACTATTTAATATACAATTTTATTTCAATGACTGTGTTACCAGATGTATTAACAACCAGGAAGTCTAGTTAAAAGTACTGAGATGAAAAAATACAAACACATATCCAAAAAATTCATGATGATAAAGATAATTAACTTTTTTAAAAAANATGAAACCACCCTTTTGATAATACCTATTCAACAAAAAAATAATCGTTCAAATTGATTTATAATCGGCGGAGATATTGCGTATAAAAAAGTTCATCCCCAATTTTCCACCCTTGGGGGTTGTTTTTTCTATTATTAATTTTAAATGGGACCACCCTTGAGGTATTACCTATACGCCGAAAAAAGATTTGTTCAAATCGGTTCATAATTGGCAGAGTTATCGCGTAACAAACATAGAAAAAAAAAAACATACGGGTCGAATTGAGAACCTCCTCCTTTTTTTTGAAGTCGGTTGAAAATAAGAGCTTTCTGACATCATCCTTAAACAGTTTGAATATTTTTCCCATTGTCAGACTTGGAATTGCTATGTCTCTGCATATTTCAGAATTAATATTTATGAAGATATACTACTCGTACATCCCTGTAAAAATATAGAAACACGCACTTCGTTCAATATGAATTAAGAGTGTTTAAGTTATGAAGTAGAAACCTACCTAAATGTTGACCTAACGTATGAGGAAGGAAATCTCGATGCATAAAGTAGTATGTACCTAAAGAAACTTAAAGCTTTAATTAAATAATACCTGCCTATGATTGTGTTTAACCACTTTACCTACCTACTACTCGTGAATGATTTTTGCGACATGACATTCCGAATGTAGGTACATTTTCAAAGGGACTTTTTGAAATACCTTACTCAATACTCAATTATTTACTGCATCCATAATGTCATAGAGGTGGTATCTTATTTTTGCATAAAATATGGTTCATTACTCATTGTTTAAGTTAGTGGACTTTGTAAAATAAGAAAGCTTTACATTCATACTTTCACATTACGATTGTATTACCAAACCTAGTTATTTAAAACTTTCATAATAGTAATAAGACTAAAGACGTAATCAGAAATGCGTTATCAATATATTTGTTGTAATTAGTAATTTGGATTCACTTAGGCTGGGTTGCACCATCTTACTTTAACTATAAGAAACGTCAAAAATTTGTTAAACTCCATACAAAAAACACCGGTTATCGTTATAGTTACGATTACATTTAGGTGATGCAACTCGGCCGTATACAATTGGCCTCGAAATATTTACACACAAATATAAATTGTGATTTAAACAAAATCCTCACTTATGTTGTTTAGTTCCCAAAAATACCTTCTTCGGCAGTCAGTAAAAAATGCCGTTAAGTAACTGTCAACTTGTGTTCTTACTTCAACTTATAAAACTAAAGCTAAAAACTCCAAAAAGCGTTACTAATGTTAGTCTTTGAGTAAGAGAGTAACTAAGCTTTTTACATTCCTATTTAGAAGATAATTATACTTTACTTTATTTAGTAGGTACCTACTTAACTATGTGATAAAGTATCACTTCATTCATGACGAATAACTAAAATGCGTAGGTTTAGATAATAAACTAAATTTGGTGTACAATAATACGAATATTTATTTGCCTACATCCATTCATTAATAAAATATCTCATCCATTCATGATTCAATTAGCATGACATAGGCTTCTAAACTTATTCATTAGGTTTTCGATTATTTACTTGTAATAATAAGGATAAACTAAAACATTAAAGTGTACCTACTAAAAACACGTAAAATCTCTGCCTGATCCAAAATGAGGTGACTCTATTGACCGATTATAATGTATGTTACAGTTTATTTTAGAACCCACTCGTAAAACAAGCATATTATTTAGCTAATCACTAGGGGTTAACAGGATGGTTCATCTATATTCTTAAAAAAGGTAAAAACCTAAACTGCAATCTAAATTATCTAAATATAACTCAAAGGTGACTGACTGACTGTCTGACTGACTGACTGACTGACTGACATAGTGATCTATCAACGCACAGCCCAAACCACTGGACGGATCGGGCTGAAATTTGGCATGCAGGTAGATGTTATGACGTAGGCATCCGCTACGATAGGATTTTACGAAGCTCCACCCCTAAGGGGGTAAAACGGGATCCACGCGTACGAAGTCGCGGGCGGCCGCTAGTAGGTACTAATATTATGCTTCTTGGGTTTTTTATACCAAGACAGTGCAGTATAGAGATGAAACGGATAGTGGTTTGGCCGGATACCGGATACCGGATATCCGGCGAGCTGCTAGGCCGGATAGCCGGATATCCGGCGGCCGGATAGTTGGCCCATTGTCTCGTTGTATGTCATGACGAGTTTAGCGCCGCCAGGTGCTTCGAACGCGATCAGTGGGTCTAGTAGACAAGTCACACTTTTCGAAATTCAAATCCGTATCCGTCCGAATAAAATGTCAGATTTTGCCACTTGTGGCAGATCAATTCGAGCGATTTCGGTTGCCATCGTGAGTGTGTGGTTGAATAGGGAAAATTTAAATTAGTTTACTTGCTGCGTAATCTGACTGAACTGCATCATGTCATCAGACCATCAGTGAAAAAAAGATCGCCTAATTTAATTGGCTATATTTCGACATTAACAGATATTTATTTATTTAGTACTAACTTTCCGCCCGCGGCTTCGCCCGCGACTTCGCCCGCGTGGAATTTTGTCTGTCACAGAAAAACTTTATCGCGCGTGTCCCTGTTTCAAAAACCGGAATAATAACTATCCTATCTCCTTTCCAGGGACTCAAACTATCTCTATGCCAAATTTCAACAAAGTCGGTTCAGTGGTTTAGGTGTGAAAGCAAGACAGACAGACAGACAGAATTACTTTCGCATTTATAATATTAAGTATAGAAGTATAGATTCGTCATTAGAGTAAATAAATAGCCCTGAAAAAGAAAAGTTTTTGAAAGGCCTCAATATGGCTTTTTTGTATCTTTTTGGACTTTAATTATAAGCCGTTATTATTATAAGCCTTTTTATTGATATTTACCTCAAAGATGAATGTATTTCATTTTATTATAAGAAATTGTCGTAGTTTTTTAATATCCGGTATCCGGCCGGATAGTGAGTTACTATCCGGTATCCGGCCGGATAGTAAATTCAGGCCGGATATCCGGCCTACCGGATAGTTACCGGATATCCGTTTCATCTCTAGTGCAGTATCCATGTGCCATAATAAATCATATCTCGGATATGCCTCTGTAATCATAGAGCAATTATTTTAATTTGTGTGCGTCATGTCATATATCACAGTATAGTGTAATGCAACCATCTTAATTACAAGACACAATTTATGAATTTATTTATAAATGCCGGTACCTTTTTATAGAATACCATCGAAGACGAAGATAGCTCTGATTATTCGCTGATACATGATTAAAATATGACGCGTACAGTCAAATATGAAACTAATTAATTTCCAATTTAAAATAGAGCTCATTTGAGTTCTTTAGATTGTCTACTTTTTTTTCGATCTAAGTATGTATTTCGTATCTATGTAGATCTATGGTATCTTTTAACTGGATGTTATGTACAAATTCGTTTGTGTCCACGAATTTGTACTTAGCATCCAGTCGGAGTTTAAACTCAACTGGTAAATAGATACTTATTTACATAAAATGAAACCTATACTTTTCTGGAATGATTTCCTTTCAAATAATAAAGAGCTTTTTAAGAACTTATACAGTGATTAGCTGAAAATTTCCCTGTACATACGCACAAATATAATCTCGCTCTACATATTTTACAGTTGTACAGTCTACATCAAGACAAATTACACGTTTTGATTACAATATGCCGAATAAACAGAATGCTTAATTATTTTTTAATAACGTAATAATGTAGGTACTTGTCCTTCTACTAAACAGTGAATGTAAAGCCATTTCAACTGGTGAAAGTTAAATCCCATTCCGCATCTTCATAAAGAGCTTTTTAAGTCTCAAGGCCTCGCGTAGGCAATTTATTGATTTTTTGCTTATTAATATTGTGACAGTTATGAAAGTCATTTCATATTCAATTGTATTATATTTTTTTAATATTATACTGTACGTGTGCCTATGCAGCCTCATTTAAATACTAACCCCCTTACTAATAAAAGTTATTCACTCGTTGAACACTTGTTTAAAGTGACGTTTAGTATGGAAATTTCACTTTAAACTACTGTTCAACGAGTGTGTAACTTTTAATTAGTAAGGGGGAATATCATTCTAAACTCTCATTGTTAAAAAAACTGCATGTCATTTTTCACAAATAGGTTGTTAAAATACGCTTTTATTTTTTTAATCTACGTCATGCGCGTGAATTAATCGTCCCATTCTTGTCTCTAATACTCTCAACTGTATCTCTTCAGCAACTTTGTATGCTTACATCATAATAACTGTGGAAGTTTCCAAAACACAAACTTACGAGAGAGACAAATTTTATTTTATTTATTTATTTATTTATTTATTTATTTATTCATCATCATCATCTCAGCCATAGGACGTCCACTGCTGAACATAGGCCTCCCCCAATGCTTTCCATGTTGCCCGGTTGGGAGCGGCCTGCGTCAAGCGCCTTCCTGCTACCTTTATAATGTAGTCGGTCCACCTTGTGTCGTATGTACTCGTAGTACTTACTACTAATACTAGTGAATTTGCATCGAAAATAATATATACACAACATCAAATAAATCGCACCTTCCGCGACGCGAACTTTAAAGATTTCTTTTGACACAATCATGGTGCCCCAACAATATTGGTGTTATTTGAAAGCCCAATAAATAAACTTCAAGAAAAACACATTTAATTTTTTTATAAACAATTAGCAGGTACCATAAATGTGACTTGAAAAAAGGCCTCACTTTGGGCTCACCTCTGGGATCAATTAGACCAGTTTTTGTGGTTATAGAACCAAATAATGATCTTACGTGTCCTTTTTAACAGATAAATAGCGATTAATCCCAATTTAACAGTTTTATAGCCATAAAAGTTGGCTCAAACGTAACTACCTATTTTTTGAAGAAGTGACTCTGGACCCTTCTAAAAACACATTTTTGGGATAAAAACCTTTCCTTTGATGAAATGAAGGTTAGAACTAGGCTTTCAAATGCAACCAATGTTTGTGGGAAGTGGGGATGCATACGTTTGAGAAGTGCTTGTCGCGGGAGGTGCGATTTATTTGATGCCGAGTGTAGTGTGCTGTGGTCTGTACTTAACTATATTCTGTCTTTGAATGTACCAGACAATGTTCTCTTTGATACATAAAAGCTCTTTTGGCCCCTTCATTATGTTATTTATGTTATGTGGCCATCTGTTGACTGCTTCAGTACAAATTATGATAAGAGTCTGTGACATTGGTTACCATAAAATTGGTTAACATAACTCCAGGTACAAGCAGAAAGCTCAATCAACAAGCTCTGATTGGGTAAGCTTTATTTAGAAGGGCTATTTTAAACTATAAACATTATGGCAAACTTGTGCGGCTAGATTTAGAAACTGCAGCACATACACTTCCTAAAGCACATAATATTTACTAAAACTTACTAAATACCTACTTAAGGTTTTACATAATGTGCCGCTCACCCGTACTATTTTGTATGTAACTTATGCGACGTAGCGAATAAAACCAATCGCGATCTTCAATAAAAATCGATCTTATTTGTTCAAAGACTTAAGCCTTCTGTATCGACTTGCAATATAAAGTCGGCGCCACGATCGATGACGTCACTATATCTCAATATTCTCATTAAAACATGCGATATATTTTAAACATGAACACTTGATTACAAAATTGTCACTCTCTGTTCCCAAGGATAATTATGTCTTTAATTAATTGTAGCTATCTTTACATGATTACTACTGATAATAACACTAAGTATAATTTATTTTTCATAACGTAGAAAATTAACAATAACTATATCATATCATAGCAATAGAGGTTACTTATGTACCTATAACCTGAAAATATACCTCTTAATACTTAAATAAGTAGAATCTTAAAGCTTAATAGCTTGTCCAGCAAACTTGACCAGTTTTTTCCAGTTCTTGTTACAAAACCCTACCCGGCAAACAATGGGCCCTAAAGTCGTAATTGCATTGAGATTAATAGTTAATTATTGAATTCATCTGGTACAGTCAGCATCAAATACTTAGTTTGTGACACCCAAAGTAACCAATAAGTTCGCAACACGCCTTTGCAACAATTGTAATAAGGTTGTCTTATCAACTTTTTGGTCATTTTGGGTCTTACGAACTATTTGACGCTGACTGTACAAGCAACATATAAAATATCCGTGAACCTATACAAATGTGTAATAATAATTGAAATCTTGAAATCGAAATTCAATAACATCTTGATTATTGAATACATGGTGAGGGAATTACCCATCGCAAAGCCTTGAGAGACCTCGATTCCGGGACGTGATATTAAACTGTATTTAAGTATGAAAAGTACTTATACCTATAGATCCGGAATCGAACTCTCTTTTGTTATCTTTTAAGAACAATGGGATACACTCGACGAGAATATCAGATTTTCCATTTTAACAATAAGTACAGACAAATCCGAAAGCGCAAAAGCGAACATTTTTAAAGTAAATCGAAGTCGATTTTGATAAAAATGTTAAGGACATCTTTCCTATGTATAATTTTTTAATTAGTCAGTTTTGATCACAAAATAAATACCATCAAAACGTGCGGTTCGAAACTATCTCTACTTCTTGAGTAGGGTCAACAATCGAGTAGACTAGCCTTTATACAGAAAAAAAATCTTTTTTTTTTTTTCATTTAGAAGAGATAAGACCTTGATGAGATCTTTTTTTCTACATTCACAAAGTACGGCGTCACTAAACCACTCGCATTAAAAAAAACTGTTTAAAGTTACGTTTTAAATGTCTTAGGTTACTCACTGTCATGCTATTGATGATGCTTATCTAATTACGAATTACTCTAAAGTATTCACACATCAATCAGTAATGAGATGCGCTACGGAAGATTACCGGTGAGCAAATTGAGCTGATTACAACAAACATTAGAATGATAAAGATCTTAACTCGTAATAGGTAGGTACTTTAGACGAAAACAATCCCAACGATCGCTTCTGTTTTCCATAATAGTGTGATGCGAATTAAAAACATCTAAAAGTTCATAGTTTGTTAGATCACACATCGATCAGAATCGGAGGTGAGATCTTACAGATTGTAGATTTGAAGATACATGATGTATACAGGGTGTTAGGTAAATGGGTATATGAGCCGACACTAGCCCATGTTAACATGGGCATATAAATGGTATGGTGAAGTCAGAAATTCGATATCATCATTTTAATTTATTTAATTTTCATACAAAATATTTTTTATGAAATCCGATTTGTATGAAAATTTTAATAATTAAAATGAAGATATCAATATTCTGACGCTACCATACCATTTATATGACCGTGTTAACATGGGCTAGTGTCGGCTCATATACCCATTTACCTAACACCCTGTATAGAAGATGTGACTTTGTTCCAGACGTACCTACCTAATTATGAAGCATAATCTTCTGGTACAACTCGCTTTTGTGGTTTAGCTTTAGGTTGACTTGGTGGTAAGATGCCAAAACTTTGAATTTTGGAATAATGAATTATATACAAACAATGGAATGTAAATTATTAATTAAAATTGTTATTAATATGTAGATTCTAATTTTGTAAAATTTGCATGCCTACCCTGGACAAAACATGTTGGACTTGACATTTTCTATCGACCATTTTGTTACCATGTTTCTGAGCAAATAAATGATTTATTTTAAAGAATGTCTTAGTACCCTGATAAGTACACTGGACTGCAAAGAAAAAGGGTCGGTTGGAAAATCTTCTCAAAAGTTCCTAACCTTTTTTTTTTTTTTTTTTTTTGGGGAAAAAATGCATTGAATTGCATACCTATCCTGCGGGGACAGGGTAGGTTATGTGGGGCTCACCAAGTCAGAAGGACAAAGGCATACCCACTAAAAAGACCCCGGTGCTCCGTCATTCGCCTTAAGTGGGAAGGAACTGTGGGATTCCGGACAAAGCCTTCACTACCACAGTCCCTCCCGGCGATTGCCCGCCTACACGGCGGGCCCTACAGGCCCCCCAGGACGGGGGGCGACGGGAGCAGCTAGGAGCACACAGCTGTTCCCGTCCGACGGTGGTGGTGGCCTGTGCAATGCAGGCGAGGGCGCCCCCACGCCCCCGGCCCGCTGGCCATCACCGAGGAGAGGAAACTGGAGGCGATCATACTGTCGCCTCCTCTGACCCCTTCGCCGTCGCCGGAGTGAGGGCGCGTTTGGATCATCTTCGCGCTCTCGCTCCGCGGCCTCCTTCTGTGATATTACATCTTCGCAAAAGGAGGCCATTGCCGCCCAAGCCTCGTTGCTGTCCAACATAGCTTTAACTAAGCTGGGCAACACGAGGTCCTGACCCACCGCCGCAATTAGCGTACTACGCTGCGATGCCCACTTCAGACACACCGCAAGGGTATGGTGCGCCGTGTCTTCCGCACCGCTGCGACATTCGTGGCAGGACGGCGTGTCCTCCCTTCCGATGCGGTGCAGTGAGCTGAAGCATCCGTGCCCGGTCAACACCAACACCAAACGGAAGGAGAGGTACCCGTGCGGGCGCTCAAGCCACCTCTGTATGGTCGGCGCGAGCGCGTCTAAGGTTCGGCGGCCCGACTCGGCCACGGCGAGGTGCTCTGCCCAAAAAGTTCCTAACCTAGTCCAAGCCCTTACAAAGTTTACAAAATGCCTTTCGGAATTAAGTTTCATTAAGCATGAGTAAGGTGTTTAAAACCAGTTTAGGACAGGACCTACTCGTACCTCAAGGGATCGGACGTGGAAAACACGTCACTCGAGTAGCAATAAACTAGCGTACCTAGCCACTTTCTACGCGCGTCGACTACCTGAATACCTACTTATAAAATGCTACGACATTTAGCGACGTTCTAGAATCGAATTGTGCAAATACCCGGATAATAAATCTTGGTAGTTCTAATCCCGCTAAGGGTATATTGTTTAAACATAACCCTCCTTCTGGCGCAGCCGGGCAAAATATTGCCTGGTTATTGTGTGATAATGTTATGCTCCTGGAAGTGATAACAACTTTTCCAATACACACCAATTCATTGGCAGTGAATCAAATGGGAGTTCACAGTGGCCTAGTTAGCGGAAAGCTAGTCACAACATCCATCCCGCCCAGTGAATAAAATAAACAAATGAAGGTTTTTAAGAAAACTTTAGGTGGTCGTGAAACCTATTCTATTATGACGTGTCCTAAGGCTTAGGCGATTATCACACTGCACCGCGCTCCGCCGCGGTACCTACGCGGGACGACAGATTTAATCATTATATGCAAGTATCTCAGTTTGTATAGAAAACACGCGCGGCACAACACACTGACAACGCGTTTGCGCGCGGGATTCGTTATAATAATATGTCGCCACGCGTACCGCGGCGGAGCGCGGTGCAGTGTGATAATCGCCTTAAACTGTCTCGATACTAAAATAGTGTCAGCGTGAGAAAATTACAGACAAACAGAGCTACCTACATACGTTCGCATTTATACTATGTAGTTTGACTAAATCAGCTCTTTTTTGTTCCAGGATGGCTCCCTCTATGTGGAGATGCCCAACGTGATCCCTCCATGGACGGTCCGTGGCCCAGACAAGTACTGCATCGACACCTTCGTCTTCGAAGACGAGTATGGAGGCAGAACCACTCGGTTGGACGCGTTAGTCTGCTTCGCGGAGAACCAGGAGGACCACCACTATGTACTGAGCAGCACCTGTGAGTAATCATCATCATCATATATTAAGGGCCTCTTTCACAACCTCCGAGTAAAGTTCTGAGTAGATACTCCCTGATTAACACTATTTGGCAAGTGAAAGTAAGAAGCATTTTGCGTCTATGTCTTGTCAGTGCCATGGTTTCGTGCTACTCCGTGACTTTTAAGAAACAGTAACCTTGACACCAGTACTTGCTACTTTACTCAGAGATGGTGAACGAGCCCCTTAGTCTCCACAGCAGGAGAACGATCTCTCTAATTTACAAGAGGCAATACTGAGTGTATGTATATCCCCAACCTGGCATGATGGGTTTGACATAGACCTGATTTTCTCATATTTTTCTCCCTTGGCTGGCAGTCACCTCATAAGATATCCACGAGGAGAGTTGGGTTGGTTCTATTCTACTCTGCTGAAACCACTCGGCTAAATAAATCATACGTCAATCTTAAAAGCTTTCAGAATCGCCAGCTTTTATGGTTCCATGGATGGTGGCAGGAAGCCATTATTTTTATTTCGCACAATAATGGATTGTTTCAATAAAATTAATGAACCTCATAAATAAATTGTAGCCATATCGCAGGGTATTTTGGAATACCTACAGTTGAGTTTTACAATATCTTATCCTCGATTAGTCATTGTACTCCTTCTACAGACTTGAAATAAATATAAAATAAAATACACCTTTAACAAAACTGTACAGACGATAGCTCACTAGACACTTTTGTTCCAATATCGCACCTATAACAACTGCATAAGAGGTCACATTGTCCAGCTTGACGTACTGTCGGTACAATACCCATCAATCCGCGCAAGACGTGCGTTACCTACAGATTACCACATGGTATATTTTTTATTTAACCACGCATCGCTAATGACAAATGTACACAATAGACTTCTTCAAGTAGGTACTTGTATTTTTTAGAAAAGAACTTGAGGATAAAGTTTAAGACAAAAATATAATAATCACTGACTCAACCTATTAAAATTCCAATATTTTAATAGGTAGAGTCAGTGATGCACATGTTATATTTTTAATACAACAATAAAAAGTTATGAACTCGGATCGATTCGGCAACATCTGGATAGTAAAATTAACACATCATTCTCACTCAACTGGGTCAGTATATTTCAGAACATCTTGCTTTGTTTGTATCAACAGAGAATTGATTATAACGAGGCTCGTGGTTCGTATACATGATTACAATGCCAGCTGCGATGGGATCGAATCTTACAGGGAGCAAATTATGTCATTCATTCGTTTTAACCTGATGCAGTCCACTGCTAGACAAAGGCACGAATTTCCACAACAATCAGTCCTGCACTGCCCACTTCCAGTTGCTTCCCGCGACCTCCACCAGATCGTTGGTCCACCGGGAGGCTAATACTACACCACGTTATCCAGTCCGTGATCGCCACTCGAATATCTTTCTGCCCCAACTGCCATCAGTCCTCAGCTATAATATGCCCATTCGTTTGGAAATTCTGCGGGCTATATGGACCAAAGTGTCTCCAACGAATCTCCTCATATCCATTACTTCTCTAGATGATAAATAGATGTTTTTTTTTAATTGAATCTATTTGTTCCAGGTATGCTAATATCATGCGTGTTCATCCTGGCCACGTGCGCGGTATACGCGTGGCTGCCCGAGCTTCGAAACCTCCACGGGCGAGTTCTGATGGCTTACCTCAGCTGCCTCTTCGTCGGCTTCTCCTTCCTCACAGCCATGCAGATCTTGTTGGTGGTTGACAACATCACGCCATTGACGTGCGTCATTATGAGTGAGTATATTTTGTTCACACTTTACCAGTCCATATTTTATACTTGTGAGCTTCGGAACCTCCACGGGCGAGTTCTGATGGCTTACCTCAGCTGCCTCTTCGTCGGCTTCTCCTTCCTCACAGTATGCAGATCTTGTTAGTGGTTGACAACATCACGCCGTTGACGTGCGTCATTATGAGTGAGTATATTTTGTTCACACTATACCAGTCCTTATTTTATACTTGTGAGCTTCGGAACCTCCACGGGCGAGTTCTGATGGCGTACCTCATCTGCCTCTTCGTCGGCTTCTCCTTCCTCACAGCCATGCAGATCTTGTTGGTGGTTGACAACATCACACCGTTGACGTGCGTCATTATGAGTGAGAATATTTTGTTCACACTTTACCAGTCCATCCTTTATACTTGTGAGCTTCGGAACCTCCATTAGAGAGTCCTGATAGCGTACCTCATCTGCCTTTTCGTCGGTTTCTCCTTCCTCACGGCCATGCAGATCTTGTTGGTGGTTGACAACATCACGCCGTTGACGTGCGTCATTATGAGTGAGTAGATTTCGTTAATTTCAAAATCATCATCATCAGCATGCATTTGTCCTTCCACATTGTACACAAGCGATGGCAAATGATGGAGTGTATGGGTCATTCCACCGGCCAAGAAAATCACGTGTCCGGGGCCAAAAAGTACCCGAATTTCATAATATTTTAGTAACAAATATTTTTATCTAATAGTATAACTTTGGTTTTTGTTGTTAAACCACAGAGATAGTTAATAATAGTTAATTAAGTAATTTAAAAAAAATCGTAAGTCGTCAAAAATTGATTACCACGACGTGTCCGCGCTCCCGATTTCAGAACAAATTTGCTCGTATAAATTAATCCGTTATTATTACCGCTTTCAATGCTTATGTAATCGATTACTGATTAAATAAACATTGATAAATTAAATACGATATAACTATATGACTAAAAGGTTTTGTAAAATAACTATTTGAAGTTGTGTCCGGGCGTTAACCGTGATTACCCCGACACGTCACTAATGTGCGCCTACGTCCCTAGCTACGCAATTTAGAAACGAGCTCTATCCTCCCCCGTGAACCTTTAGTGGTGGCCTGCGTGCCGAGGTGATCGGTAATGCAACTCGTCGCAGGATTTCGGAGTTATCGAGATAAGAATATGATTACCCCGACCTTGGTTCAGTGCACGATTGATTTACTCTATCCTGTTTTTTTAGGTTTCTTTACATGGAAAGTTCTTGAGAATGTACAGGAATAATGGTCCATGTAACCGCATTTTTGTGTATTAAAACATATGGGATTCAACTTACAGATTGGGCAGGGCTCAGGATAAACCTTAATTTTTTGACTACCCCGACCTTGATTACCCCGACTTTTGTCACCGAGTAATCAATAATACTGTAATTTTACTAATGAATGATTAACTAAATAACGTTTAATAAGCAAAATTACCCTTTACTAAAATGAAATCCTATCTCCTATTAATACATAATATTATCCCTCAAAATTGGCAAGACCCCTGGACTCGACCTTATCACCGCTGAAATGCTGTAAGCCGATGTAAACTCCGCCGTTAACGTCCTGACACCTGTCTTCGAAAACATCTGGATGGAAGAGGAACTCCCAGACGACTGGCATAAGGGGCTTCTAATTATTGTGCCGAAAAAAGGGTAAAGCAAGGGTATCAGTACCGGAAGACCCAAGAGATGCGATCTGGAGTGAGGAATTGCACACCGTTGGTGCAGAGGATGTCCAACGAGTCCACAATTTCACTTACCTCGGGAGCATCGTTTCAGAGCCTGGAGGTACCGAAGAGGACATCACTTCGCGCATTGCCAAGGCCAGAGCTACCTTCGCACAACTTCGAGCCGTATGGCAGTCACGGAAATTGACCCAAGCAAGATCAAAATATTCGGGTCCAACGTCAAACCAGTTCTGCTCTATGGGCGTGAAACGTGGAAGGTCACTAAGGTTATCTCGCACCAGCTGCAGATCTTCTTCAGCCGCTGTCTTCGCCGAATTCTCCAAAATCTTCAAACGACGAACTTTTGGAACGCTGCCACGAAATACCGATCTTTCAGCAGAATAAACGCTGCAAGTGGAACTGGATCGGCCACACTCTCCGAAGGGACCCCGATCACATCCCCAAGCAGGCTCTAGATTGGAACCCCCAGGGAAAATGCAAACGTGGTCGCGCCAAAAAAACATAGCGGCGCACTGTTAAGACTTGGAGCGAGATCAAACGCGAAGCTCAAGACCGAATGCGATGGAGGACTGTTGTGGACGCCTTCTGTCCTATATAGGAGATATAGGACATTGAGTCACTAATATTATATGTATAATGTATATGTATGTTTTTTACTCTTTTACGCAACAACTACTAAACAGATTTTGTTGAAACTTTACAATATTGTCGTTTATACATCAAAATAACAAATGGCTAGTTATAATAACATTTATTTTACCATAACTTAAAAAAAACCTTAGAAAATGAAATATTTTGTTTTATTTTTGATTACTCTGACTCCCAACTTTGATTACCCTGACCATGAAAATTTTGATGTCGCATAACTTTTTATTCCTGTTTGCTACAGATGGGCCAATATAAAAAATATCCTGGTAATAATGTCTATTTTGAAATGTTTTACCTTAACTTACTCTAAATCTATACTTATAATAAATCTGTAGAGAGGTCAATTCTGTACATGAAATATATTTTCAAAATAACTATCAGGGGGTGATTAGTGATCGATACTGATGCCAAAAATGCAATCAGTAAAATGTCTGTCTGTCTGTCTGTCTGTCTGTCTGTCTGTCTGTCTGTCTGTATGTTCCTTATAGAAACAAAAACCACTTGACGGATTTTAACGAAACTTGGTACAATTATTCTTCATACTCCTGGGCAGGTTATAGGATACTTAGGAATTCCCACGGGAACGGGAATTAGCGGGAAAATCCTTTTGTACGAAAAATATAAACCGCTTAAGTTAGACGCTTGAAATTTGGCATGCAGGTACCTTAGTAAACTTAAAGCTTAGTTACAACAGGATATTGCAAATTTCCCATGGGAACGGGAGTTAGTGGGAAAAAACATTTGTATGAAAAAATCTAAACCGCGTAAGATAGACTCTTGAAATTTGGCATGCAGGTACCTTAGTAAACTTAAAGCTTAGTTACAACAGGATATTGCAAAAATCTCACGGGAACGGGAGTTAGCGGGAAAAAACATTTGTATGAAAAAATCTGAACCGCGTAAGATAGATGAAGGGGGGGTAAAACGAGATCCACGCGCACGAAGTCGCGGGCGGCCGCTAGTTAAAAAATAAAAAAGGTCGGGGTAATCAACAAAATAATCCAGATCCGGAGAATGACCGCCATTTACCATGTCAAGAGAGAGTTACAACTGGCTTAAGAAATATTTTTTAATCCTAACATTTAATTACCTAATGTTGAAATTTATTTATATTTTTACCCATCTACGATATGTATGTACGAAGCTATCACGAAAGCGGAAATAGATAGACGAGCGTAACAATAACAGTACCTGCCTACATTGTCTGAGGCATTGGTTTTTCCAGTTACATACTGATACAACCAGCAACTTTTAACCAACAACCAACTAACGGTGTGAGTTCTGCTTCTCTATAAACTCATCATTAAGAAAGCCTATCAAAAGGGACTACCTAAGCACAACAACAACAAAACCATTACAACCAATTTTAGTTTACAGCCATAAGTAAGGTGACAATGTGAAACTGTTCGTAACAACGAGATAATAAGCATGACAATCCATTATAATTTTCCCATGGCTACAAACAGTACTTATCTTCAACTGTTCTTCGTTTTAACGACAAAATTAACATGGAAGAATTCAAACTCATAAAGGTGTCTTTTATACTCAGGAAACCACTATATGAAAATCAAATTATAAAAATGGTGGCTTAAAATTTCCCCCGGATATACGAAGACTTAATGAAGTTTGATTGATTAAATGTCGGTATGAAAAAGTTTTGCTAGTTGGGTTTCACAAAAACAACTTGTTTTTATGTTTTTACTGACATGGGGTCACGGAATGTACTTTTCTGATTAATGTTGGATCATCGATGATTAAATTCCCCAAAACTTAATGAACATTTCAAGCATGTCCAGTCGTGGAATGAAAAGGTTCGTCACCTTAGTGTCGGTTTTCGCTTGCACTAGGTACTGTAAGAGTCAAACCTGCCAACATAACAGTGCAAGAAACAGTGCTGCTAACATTTAAATAAATAATATGACGTTTGCTAACGAATAAGGTTTTGCTTGTTTATTTTTCTATCCCATCAGTGCAATGCAATGATAACATTGACCAATTGACAATAGGTTTTGTTATTTAATAGAAAAAATAATGGCAGGTTGAACCAAGAGAAGGTTTTAGTTTGTCAATCATAATAATCTTATTGACAAGATAAATCGTCAAACAACTTTGATCTGAATAATTTTGAACTTTACTGACGAACAGTTAAAGATTATTTTCTGTAACTCGAGATTATTCTGTAACATAGTTTCAAAAGGTAATATGTGCTCGCGATTCGTTGAAGGAAACAATTTGAAAACTGACGAACCTTCTCATTCCGTGACTGTCCATCTATTTAATCCAAAAAAATGTGACTGTGGTGGTTACACCTTAAAGAAGACGAGTGACTTGGCAATATGTAGTAGGCTTACTTGGCAATACCTTACTTCTACAAAAAAGGATATGTCATCAAAAGAGTTGATACTTAGGAATATTTTTCGTTCCTTTATTGCTTTAACAGTTATTTTGTTTTTGTTACCAGTTATTCTTTGCTTTTTGTGATGTCTGTCTTACATTAAAAACATCGATGTCCTCGATTCGCTTTACACGTCAAATGGTTGAATAGTGGAGATTCCACTAGTGTCAATGTCATTATGTTTTTGTTAGTTTTTGCGGTCTAACGCGTTAGCTCGTCAAGTGGATAATGATTGCTGTACA